TTCCCCACACTACCTACTGTGGAACTCTGCTCTCTGTAGGAAGAGAGGCCCAGATCCTTTTGCTTGTTGGGTGAAACAGTGTTTCACCGGGAGGTTATAGTCACTATTGAAGAGACGCAGAATCATCGCGTCTTTGTGCTTAGACTTCTCTGTTCTTGCCTTGTTGCAGATGAAAGCCTCAGAATGAATAACCGTGCTGAACTCACCCAGTGGATTAAATGCTCGAATCTAGGTGCTTTCCATGGTGAGCAGGATGGTGCTTGCTCTGTTTGTGAATATTAGGTGGTCAACTCTAGCATGTCCTTGCCTGGGAATGGCGTGGGGTGGGGTGAGCTGTTAAGGATTCTCTGGGCTTATCAACACTGTAGGAAATCTTAGATTGATGATGTCGATCTCTGCTACTGGAAATGTGGTCCCTGGGCCAGCAGCGTGGCGTCACCTAAGAGCTTGTACCACAGAATCCCAGGCCCCATCTTGGACTTCCTGGATCATAATCCACATTTTAGCAACAGCTGTAGGTGGTTTGTATAGCCACTGAGGTTTGAGAAGCACTAATGTTGAATACTGGATGTGGATCTTAGAGTTCAGGCTCCCCTTTCTCCACGGAGGGGCCTTAATGGTTCTGTCTGGCTAGAATTTATCCCTGGTTTATATCTGACTCCCTTATAGAACTGAAGAAGAGGTTTCTTCTTCTTCTTACTTTTAGTTTTTATTTTATTTTTTGGCCACACAGCATGTGGGATCTTAGTTCTCTGGCCAGGGAGTGAACCTCTGCCCCCTGCTTTGGAAGTGTGGGGTTTTAACCACTGGACCGCCAGGGAAGTCCTAAGAAAAGGTTTCTAATTGACTAAGAACTGTGGGATTGAGAAAGGAAATGGGGAAGGAACAGAATATGAAAAAATTGTTCCTGATTGGACACTTTAAGATTTACCTTAAATTAGTGATTGAGCTCAGGGTCTGTAAGACTTTGCTTATGGAGCCAAGTGAGTCAGATTTTTCTTAACCTGAATCATTAACTGCTACTTATCGGCCATCATGTTCTATTCATTAACTTGGCTTTTCTGTCTGGTTATTTCCTTTAGGTAAATATATTTTAAATAGATGTAAGAGAAACATTTTTATTTCCTTTAAATGGCTATTTTCTGAAATAACTAGTGATGAAAGACTGTGTCATTTTATTGATGGGATTTTACCAGCACAATATTTTCAGTAGTCCTGGGCCTTAGGATGAAGCATAAAGTGTTTTTTTTTTGGTTTCCTTTCTAAAAAATAATCTTAATGTTTTTAAAGTTAATTTTTATTGGGGTAGAGTTACTGTACAATGTTGTGTTCATTTCTACTGTCCGGCACAGTGACTCAGCTATATGTATACATGTGCCCCCTCTGTTTTGGATTTGAATGTTGGTTTTTAGTGTCTTTTGCCCTGCATCCCTGTTACAAAGGGGCATGTTGCTAGCAAGGCCTCATCACATGACCTTTGTGCCTTTCATCAGTTGATTGACTCTTCCCCAATTTGACATTTTTGAGATGAGGCAGTGAGCTGTGGACCAGGGATGAAGTCGGGCTAAGGCTTTGAGTTCTTTGCGCTGCACTGCCTGGGTGGGCAATGTGGGCCTCCCAGGCCCTGATGCAGTCAGTCTTTAAATGGAAGGAATTGGACCAAATCTATGATTTTCACGGGATGTGGGCCGAAAGGTTGTTGCTGAGCTGTGAAAGACGCTGGGATTCTTGGCCTCCGGAGGAGAAGAATTCAGTCTGGGGCCAGTGATGAGGCTTGATAACTCAGAGCTTTTGTGTAATAAAGTTTTATTAAAATATAAAAGAGATAGAGAAAGCTTGTGACATAGACATCAGAAGGGGGCAGAAAGAGTGCCCCCCAGCTAGTCTTTAGCCGGATATTATATAGCTACTAGCAGAAGCAGCAGTCTGCTAATTAGAGAAAGGAAATGTCTCAAAACGCAGAGACTCGCATCAGGTCCTTCACCCACAACATGCATTTTGAGATAACACTGGCCCAAGGTGACTTGTCCTGGGCCATAAAATGATTGACTTAAATCTTGAAGAAAAGCACGTTTCCAAGCAAATACAGCCTCATTAACATAGCTGAAAAGAATATTTGCCTGAGTAAAGCATACTGGTTTGTCAAGTTGGTTCTGAGTCTTAGGCAGAACTGACTTGAAGACAAGAGTCCAGGGCAGTGTTAACATAGCTCAAGACAAGCATTTCCATAAGAAAAATGCATTGGTTAGCTCAGAGTTTGAGAAAAGTTCAGTTCAGGTGGAATCAGGTGTCGTCATGGCAACACAGAATTTTAAAAGAAACCTCTTTTAAAATTTGTATAGAGAAGGGGAAAAAAATCCAACCCTTGTAGTTTGCTTCCTCCTGCCACGTAAGAGAGAGATAAAAAGTGTCTGACACTGGAGACCCCTGGGCTTCCTGCCTGTTACCCTCTCGGGGCTCTATGAACAGGTTGTGTGTGTATTAGGATCTTGGGTGTGGGGAACACATGTTTCAGACACACAGTACTGTTGTCTTTATTTGGAAAATAGAAAAAAACCTTTTTTTTTTTTTTAAACGAGAGGCGGAATGTAAAAGTGTGATACGATGTTAGGAGGTTAATGTGGGATGGAAAGCACATGGGACCACCAGTTAGCTGCAAGTAACAAAATTTTTAGTGACTACAGAGTGCCAGGTATTGTTTTAAATTTTCGATATGCACGTACTTTCACTTAAACCTCAAAGGTCCCTAGAATATCAGTCCTGATAGTATACAGACAGGCAGACAGGTGAAGTGTCTTGCTCAAGGTCATCACAGCCATTGTGTGGGTGGATGTGGGATCCAAACCCAAGCTGAATCGGCAGCTTGACTGTATACCTGCTACCTCTGCATCCATAGTCTGATATGAATCGAGATCACTTTAATCTGTGCTTTACCTTCTGAAAAAAGTTTTGTAATGTATGTAACTTGTATGCAATTGCCCCTCAGTCCTCAAGTGTGGGACAGAAAACAAACAAAAATTCTGTTTTCCTCTAAATCCAATTACAAATTTGGTTCCGGGACTTCCTTGGTTGTCCAGTGGTTATGTTGTAGCCACGCGTTCCGGGAAACAAACTCACTCAGAAGGACAATGCAGATAGTGGAGTGCAATTTATTACACCGGGGGGCCCAAGGCAGAGTCTCCTCTCAGCCAAGGACCCCGACCAGTTTTTGTGAAAACCTTATATACCCTAAGTGTGCGTGCTCAAACCCACCTTCCCAAATTCTCTGAAACTAGTCTAAACAAAGGAAAAGAAAGATACAATCAAAGTTAACCCCTGATTCGTATACCTTAAGCCTTGAGAGTCCCTTGGACTGCAAGGAGATCCAACCAGTCCATCCTAAAGGAGATCAGTCCTGGGTGTTCATTGGAAGGACTGACTCTGAAGCTGAAACGCCAATACTTTGGCCCGCTCATGTGAAGAGTTGACTCATTGGAAAAGACCCTGATGCCGGGAGGGATTGGGGGCAGGAGGAGAAGGGGACGGCAGAGGGTGAGATGGCTGGATGGCATCACCGACTTGATGGACATGGGTTTGAGTAAACTTCAGGAGTTGGTGATGGACAGGGAGGCCTGGCGTGCTGCGATTCATGGGGTCACAAAGAGTTGGACACGACTGAGCGACTGAAGTGAACCGAACTGAAGTCTAGGTAGTTAACAGTAGACAGTTATCAATAGGCCTGTGGTCATACCCCAGTGAGCATAATAGAATTTATGATTCTATTCGGTTACATAGATAATTAGGATATTCTTTTAGGCGACGGCGAGTCTAGGTACGAACCCTGGGGCTCTTCCATCCAGGGGGTCTGGTTTTCCAGTTGGATTGTCATTTCCATAGATACTGGGCATATAGCTCAAAGTCCACAGTGCAGCCCAAGATGAAGTCCTGCTTTCAAGATGGAGCCTGTTCTGTCTGTTTTCTCCTTCAGTTAAGACCTTGCACTTCTGCTGCAGAGGGCACTGGTTCTACCCCTGGTCAGGGAACTAAGATGCCACACGCCCCCTGGCTTGACAAAAAAAGAATTGGCCTAAAGTTCCACACCTAGGGAGGTGTTTAGTATCAACGGATCAATGATCAGTGGCGGATTCCTTCCCCACCGATCCAATGGGCTAGAAATTTCTGAGGCCTTCCAGTCCTCATTCCATCCTGCTCGTCAGCCAAACCAGCACTGCTCGTTTGAGAGTGGCCAGGTACAGTGTTTTCTCCCTCCATGCTCAGCTTGGCTGCTGCGATCTTCCTGGGGCTCCTGAGGCCAAGGCTCTTAGTTGTGAGTCCTCAGGTGTCCACGAGTCCACTCTCGCCAGAGGTTTTCACCTGCCCCTGCCGGGGAGCTGGGAAGACAGAGCCTAGAATGGGTACAGACATAGGATGCTGGTGGACCCAGAGCTTCCCGAGGGGAAGAGAAGGGTATCTTTCATTCTTTCCTCATATACTCTTGTAGGGAATGGGTTAATTTCTTTATCAAATTATCCTCCTGCCTGTAAATGACAGCAAGATTTAACATGACTGATCTTATACAATTTTGTTAGTATCCAGTGTACATTTCTCTTGTTGGTAAAAGCAGCTAAGTGACCAAACTGAGATAACCTCAGTAATTATTTGTCCTGTCCGTGTGACACTGAGGAAATAAAGGGAATTCTTTAAGTCTCTGCTACATCTTTTATAACACAGGGTTAATAATAGTTTCTGTCCCACAGAGGGTCCTGGGATGGGGGCAGGGGATCAGGTTTAACAAAGGCCTTTGAGACTAGCCAAGCTGGAGGGAAGTGTACGGTAGGTGGTGTGTGTGTGTGTGTGTGTGTGTGATGGGGTAGAGTCTGGAAATGTTGTGTCAATGCCGTTTTATAGCGTTTGAACTCACATCGGCCTCTTCTTGCAGTTGTTTTATTAACTGGAGTTTGTGTTCTGCCTTAAATATGTACTAAGACCTCCCTGATAAACTGCTGTTTTGGCCTGTTTAGGACCCAACCGACTTTGAGTGGAGCTTCTGGATGGAGTGGGGGAAGGAGCGGCTGGTGTGGCTATTCCTTGGCCACATGAGCGTGTCTCAAGTCGCCAACCTGCTTTCGAGGAAGGTATGGTTATGTGCATCATTTCCATTTCAGCTTCTTTCTCCTTTGCTGTTTGTCAAGAAGGAACCCTGAGCTAGGAAATCAGGGGGCATGGATATTGGCCTCTGAAGCCTGGAAAAGGTGAGAAAGATTTGTTACTGGTCAATAAGAGAAATTACCAGATAAAAAAATAAAATCAAAACATAAAAGATAAAGATGTGATAAATTGTTAATGTTGGATAAATATAGCATAATGACTTAACATACATATGTTGTGAAGATTATCACAATAAGCTTAGTTAACACCCATCATATAGGTACCAAAAAAAAGAGAAGAAGGAATGTTTTTTCCTGTGATGAGAACTTTTAGGATCTCCTTGCTTAGCAACTTTCAAGCATACCATATCGCAGTAACCACAGTTGTCACGGTGTACACTAGTACTTACTTTTCCGATAATTGAAAGTTTGTACCTTTTGACCACCTTCATCTAATTTTAAAGAACCTTCCAAGCAAACCTAATAATAAAGAATACATGATTTTGCATTCCTAAACTGATAACAAATATACCTACCTCAACCTTCATTAATGGGTTTCTTTTCTTCCATAAGTTGGTTTGGTGTTTTGTTATGACATCAACCTTTCTAGAAATTTAATACTTTTATTTCTAACACAAAGCTTCTCTGCCCACATGCGGATGATTTACTACCTCTAGGTCTTAGGTTTCCCATCTGTAAAATGAATAGCTCATTATCTGTATTTTCTTTCCCTGTTGGGGGAAGATGAACTGTTTTGGGGAGGATCTGTGAAATGAAGCTGTTATCATTACTGCTGCCGTGGGAAAGGGCCAGCTGTTGTGGAGCGGAAGAGTCCTGGATGATGGATTAGTTCCTGGACTTGCTCACTCATTAGCTTTCTGACCGTGGAAAGGCTTTTCATCACTGAATCTTAATTCATCATTTTCTATAAAGTAAGGTTAATGAAATAATAATATTTTTTTTCCTTTAAAAAATGGTGGGCTTCTCTCTATTCACAATAACGAAGACATGGAAGAAACCTTAATGTCCATTGACAGATGAATGGATATAGATGTGGAAGTGGAACATCATGTTAGACGCTCAGTCGTGTCCAACACTTTGCAATCCCATGGCTCCTCTGTCCATTGAATTCTCTAGGCAAGAATACTGGAGTGGGTTGCCACTTCCTTCTCCAACAGTGGAATAGTACTCAGCCATAAAAAGAATGAAATAACACTAGATGTAGCAACAAAGACGAATCATTCAGTGTCATAGTAATCCAAGTCTGTGCCCCAACCACTGATGCCAAACAAGCTGAGGTTGACCAGTTCTATGAAGACAACACCTTCTAGAACTAACACTAAGAAAGGTGTTCTTTTCACCACAGGGGATTGGAATGCAGAAGTAGAAACTCAAGAGATAGCAGGAGTTTGGCCTTGGAGTACAAAATGAAGCAGGGCAAAGGCTAACAGAGTTATGTCAAAGAGAACATGCTGGTCATAGCAAACACCCATTTCCAACAATGCAAGAGATGACCTCTACACATGGACATCATCAGATGGTCAAAACTGAAATCAGATTGATTATGTTCTTTGCAGCTGAAGATGGAAAAGCTCTATACAGTCAGCAAAAACAAGGCCTGGAGCTGACTGTGGCTTAGATCATGACATCCTTATTGCCAAATTCAGGCTTAAATTGAAGAAATTAGGGAAAACCAATAGGCAATTCAGGAATGACCTAAATCAAATCCCTTTTGATTATACAGTGGAGGTGATGATTAGATTCAAAGGATTAGATCTGGCAGACAGGTGCCTGAAGAACTATGAACTGAGGTTCATAACATTGGACAACAGAGGGTGACCAAAACCATCCCCAAGAAAAAGAAATGCAGGAAGCCTGAGTGGTTCTCTGAGGAGGCTTTACAAATAGCTGAGGAACTAAGAAAAGCAAAAGGCAAGGGAGAAAGGGAAAGATATTCTACTGAATGCAGATTTTCAGAGAATAGCAAGGAGAGATAAGAAAGGCTTCTTCAGTTAACAGTGCAAAGAGATAGAGGAAAACAATAGAATGGGAAAGACTAGAGATCTCTTCAAAGAAATTGGAGATAGGAAGGGAACATTTCATGCAAAAATGGCCACGATAAAGGACAGAAATGGCAAAAACCTAATACAAGCAGAAGAGATTAAGAAGAGGTGGCAGGAATACACAGAAGAACTATACAAAAAAGGTTTTAATAACCTGGATAACCACAGTGGTGTGGTCTCTCACCTAGAGATAGACATCTTGGAATGTGAGGTCAGGTGGGCCTTAGGAGGCATCACTATGAACAAAGCTAGTGGAGGTGATGGAATTCCAGCTGAGCGATTTGAAATCCTAGAAGATGATGCTGTTGAAGTGCTATATTCAATATGCCAGCAAATTTGGAAAACTCAGCCGTGGCCACAGGACTGGAAAAGGTCAATTTTCATTCCAATCCAAAAGATGGACAATGCCAAAGAATGTTTAAACTACAGAACAATTGCAGTCATTTTACATGCTAGCAAGGTACTGCCCAAATTCCTTCAAGCTAGGCTTCAACAGTATGTAAACTGAGAATTTCCAGATATACAAGCTGTATTTAGAAAAGGTAGAGCAATCAGAGATCAAATTGCCAACAGCTGAAGGATCATAGAGAAAGCAAGAGAATTCCAGAAAAACATCTACTTCTGCTTCATTAACTGTGCTAAATCCTTGACTGTGTGGATAACAACAAACTGTGGAAAATTCTTCAAGTGATGAGATTACCAGACCACCTTACCTATCTCTTGAGAAACCTGTGTGCGGGTCAGGAAGCAACAGTTAGAACAACTGGACATGAAACAATGGACTGGTTTAAATGGTAAACAGCCATTTGACTGGTTCAAATGGCTCAGACGGTAAAGAATCTGCCTGCAATGCAGGAGACCTGGGTTCTATCCCTGAGTTGAAATGATCCCCTGGAGAAGGCAATGGCCACCCACTCCAGTATTCTTGCCTGGAGATTTCCATGGACAGAGGAGCTTGACGGTCACAGAGTTGGAGAGAACTGAGAACTAATACTTTCACTTTTTTTTAGTCAGACAGTGTGAGATGTAGACTAACCGTCTATTTGTGGCCGGATGGACCTCCTCCTTTCCAAATTTTCTCCATTTCCAGCTCCTGTTTTGCACCCACCACCATCAGAACACTACCTAGTTTAGGATATAGGTGTTCCTCTGGTTAGTTTGCTTGCGGCTCTTCTTGTTAGGAGGCCCTCTTCAGTGTGGCTCAGAGCTCCTGGCTGAAACCCAGCTTTGTCACTTTCAAGCAAGGCAATCTTAAAAGCCAGTTAGTTAATATCTTGGAGTCTTTCACCTCATTTTGTGAATCAGGGATGGTACCGCTTGCTTCCTGGGGTAGTGGTAAGGGTCTAATAGTTTTCAAGGTTGTGCTAGTGTATGATGACAGCCAGCAAAGAGGTGGCTGCCGCGGGGGCCTGCTGGCGTTCTCTGTGTGCTGTGACTGCGGTCTGCGTGGGTTCCTGGGAGCAGTTCCCTCCGCGGTGTTCAGAAAGGAGGCATCTGTCTGAGATTCTGAAACCCCAGAGGGTCTCTTCAGCCGTACCTATGTTCCTCTCCTGCGGGGCTTTCTCTGACCCTGTTTCAGGCTTGTGCTGGCTTGTGGGAGAAAGGACAGGGACACACAGACCAGGAGCTGAGTGAGAAGTGACACAGGAGGGCAGATCCTGAGGCCGCCTCCTGGGAGGGGTGGCCACGACTGCCTGGGGGTGTCAGGGAAGGTCCCCCATCCCCGCCCCAGGAGGTGGCTTGAAGAGGGTGGAGCCGTCTGCTTATTTCAGCCTCCTGCATCTCCTTATAGGCCTGGGCGGACAGGTGGGCCTGTCTTTTTATCTGCAGCGCACATCTTAGGCAAACTCAGTAGGCGGTTTTGTTTGCAGTTTTCTTGGAATGAGGCACAGTTCGCACTGACTCATTTGTGTGTGTGTGTGTGTGTGTGTGTCCCATCCCTCTGTGACCACAGGTTTGATTTGTGTGACAGCTGGCGGGCAGGGTTCTGCTGAGGCTGGAGCACACTGCTGTCTTTGTCCGTGTCCTCTTGGTCCTTATGTAAGTGTGAACCTCAGCTCTGGCCCCGTAAGCTCTGTGCTTTCACCACCTGGACTGAGAGTCCCAGATGCCCTTAATTTGGGTGGCTGTTTTTGGTACTTATTCAGGGTGGAAGATTTGGGCTGCACTTGTCTTTTATCTCCCCTTCTCAGGGGCATCACAAACTGTGGACGATGCTATAGAGACAGGCATTATCACTACTCGTGGTTCCAACCCTGAAGGATGCTTCTGGGCTCCGTCCTCTGTCTCGTCCCATCTCTCTCTTTGCTGGCCCTGAAGAAGAGGTTCGTTTCAAAAGCGTGGTTTTCTATTTCTTCTTCTTTTTTCTTTTTTTTTGCCATGACTAGTAATAAAAACTTTCCACCGAGCTCCCCAGCCAAGGCTAAACATTGTTTCTCTGGGTTGGGCTCTCTCATTGGGTCTTGGCAAGACTGGCTCCGGGGCAGCGCCCTGGGAGGGGAGGCTGAGGAACGGCTCTGAGCTTTGGCCATGGGTTTGTTAGGCTTGGAGTGTGTGTGGGGCTGGTCAGACAGTGGCCTCCTTTCTTGAACACCCTCACCACATGAGGCATAGTGTTCTCTGCCCTCAGAGCCAAAAACACCCCTGGGTGAGCTTTTTGAGAAGGCTGGGTCCCGTGGCTGACCACAGCGTGCCCTCTCACCCGAGCTTTGACCGGCAGAACCCACATCGTTAGCGTTGGGCCCCGACCAGCTGAGCTCATCGGCTACAGGCCTGAAGAGCGTGGGCCAGTGGCATTGGCTGAGATGAGGGTGCTCACCTTTGGAAAACTGTGGTGCTCCTTTCCAGCATTTCGTCAAAACCACACACCTAAAAGGAATCTCATGCACTAATGGATTTCTTGGAGCCAGACTCCTCCACCTCCAT